GGACAGGCCGTGTGTGTGCACACGGGTGCCTGCCTGTGTGCGGTACACATGCCTGAAGCCGAAGTTTGTGGTCTCCGAGCCTTCCCTGCTTGGCCAGTTCAGAGCTGCCCTCTAGTTCCTCCTCCATCAATAGCTTTACAAAGCTATAGCAGATGGTATTTTTACTTAAGCATCTCTGTAAGAGAGCCGTGTATGTGTTGTATACAGCCTTTTTGTAAGAAATACTTTCCTTTTAGCTAAAGCAGTAGTTTCCATTTACCTGTTCTTCGTGTCCTTGTGTGTCTGTAAGGTTTCTGCTCTTTCAGGGAGCCAGGCGTGATGCCTCCCCCCAGACTGCTTTGGGAATGCCAGTGTCCATAGGTTAAAAAGCACTGCTCCTCAGGACCTTGCAGGGGCATTAGCTTCTTCTGGTGGCCTTGAGCGTTAAAGCCATTACAAGTTTTTTGTAGTTTTGCATCACTCGCTCGAAAGAAACTTACATTCACCTATTCAATCCATGTCAGGGTGTAAAAAGAACTCCTGATATTCACAGCAGAAGCTGGTTTAATTGCCAGTCTCAGGAGGAGTTGCAAAAGATGAAGTGGAAAAAGCAGGAGATGGGGAACTTTAAAGTATGTGACTACTGGTATAAAAACAAGTGTGGTGCCTCTGCTCAACTTTGCACTACCACTGTGCTACGATGATAGCGCCCGATTTTGAAAATCCTAGGTGGATGAAGGCTTCTTCACACTAAGAAGGCAGAGGTATAATTAATTTGTTCAAATTACATACCTCTACTCCTTTAGGTTTAAATCCTTCTTAATATGCACGATGTGATATCTACTTTTCCCCTTTATCTGTGGACGGTGCTGTAAGGGGAGGTTTGTGAGCCAGCACAGGCAGGTCGCAGGAACAACCACAAAGCTACAGATGAGATGCAGAGCACAGATTGATTCTTGTTACCTTGTGAACCAGGGATCTCTGAAGCAGCACCCAAGCAGAGGCACACAGGCGGGGATGCAGGCTCCGTGGAGCTTGGTTCTTGCTGGAGAGACAGCTTTCCAACCCGTGCTTTTGTTTGTATATCAAAGATCTTTTACAGGTGTAGTTTTCCACTGTTGAGCTTTGATCTTTCCCACAGCATGGCAGGAATCTCAAGCGTGTTAGATAGGTTGCCTCTGAGTTTAGGACAAACCTATGTTGTCTAAGCACAGAGGTTCTACTTGTCAAGTGTAGAGGACTACACAGCAGGTAGTACAATATATGTGTTTTTTCGACACCCCAGCTGAAAGTCACTTGAGTGTTTTTGCAGTCCTCCTTGCCAGTCTCCTGTATTTATCCCACAGGAGGAAATGAAGGCTTGCAGATAACTAGCTGACTGGCTTCATGCCCAGTTTGCTGCATTAGAGCATCCCTGCAGAGGCAAAACTGCAAGAGCCCCAGTCCCACTGCGCAGTCCAGTACTCCTGTGCAACAAACGTGCCTTTTCTAGCCCCTTCCCTGGCCCTGCTGTGTTTACTCTGCTGCCCTTTGCCCATTTTCATCTATGCTCACTTTTATCTCATTGGCACCTGGTTTCACAACTGGGTTTGATGAGGACCCATCACAGCCTGCAAGCAGCCTCTGGGCTCTGCTCCTGGCTTGGCTCTCCCTGTCCTGGTTTCCCCCCCTGCTTGTAAAGCTTCCCACTAAGGCACTTTGAAATCAGCATAAGACACAGGCATTTACATTTATATCTTTTGAAGTTAATATTGCTGTTTATTCTGATGGTGGATACTGGCTCCATTCTCTGCTGAGATGCCAGATTCCAAAAACTCAGAGGAGAAGAAGCCTCCGTTGCATCTGTCACCTTGTATTTCTGTGCTCTCTGCCCACAAAGCTTTCAGTAATGTGTGTGTAATCCCTCCTGCCCTCTTGCAGTCACTCTGGACTGGGGCAGGAGGCCTTCATTGTTCACCTGTGTTCTCTTTCAGAGCCATCTTTCCTCCTCCTCCTTGTCCCGGTTGCCTCTTGGTGCCGCCGGTGCCTGCCTGCCTGGCAAGTCAGAGCATGTCCGGACCCCGTGGACGAGCTGCAGAAGATGGCAGAGTCGCTGGGGCTCAGGGACGAGTGCGGGGAGGGGGCTTCGGGGGCGTCTGCTCTCGCTGCCTCCTGCCTTGCAGACAACAGGCTGAACCTGGATGTTTATCCTGACGGCTGCCGCCGGTTCCTCCAGCTGTTTGAAGGGCGACAGGGAGAGGTGGTCCAAGTGGAGTTCCTCCGTCTCAGCAGCAACGATCGCCTCCTTGGCACCACACTGGGCATCCTTCCTCATCTGAAGTACCTGAAATCCTTGGTGCTCAAAGGTAAATTCCCGGGCCCATGACCATCCAACTTTTCTAGGCTCATCTTTTTTTTTTAACCTTTATCTCCACATCTGCAGGACAAACTGCCCTTGGAATTGTTTTATTCTTGTGCCCCTTACTACAGCTCTGGCTCATAGCCTTGCTCAGAGTTGCATGCAGGTTTCAGTAAGATACAGCTTCTAGTCTCTTATTTCCTTCCTTTGTTTTTACAGCTGCCTGGGGATTGTTTTTTGGAGTCTGGTTGGGTTGATGCTGCAACATTTTCTTTAGCCATCCTCTACGAGGAGAACATTTTTTCAGTTATATGAGGAGAGAGGAACTGAAAGGTGTTGGATTTTTTGGAAACGTTCAACCCCTCTTTCATTTTTGGGTGTATAACGAGCTGTCTTTGCTGCATTTCCATCTGAATCAATCCTTAGTTCTTGCTTAAGTCAGCGAGTGTAGGTTTATCAGAGTTCAGGACAGACCAGAAGAGACTGCTCAACGTTTTATCAAAAGTATGACTCAGGACACGCATGTAATTTGGCAAACTGTAATACTGTCAGACCTATAAATATTAGATCATTCTTTGACTTTCTCATGTGTTTATTGTAGGAGGATCTTAATACAGATGGTATCATTTCTTATCAAATGGAATCATTTGCTATTTGGGAGGTGGACTTTTAAAAAGAAATGAGATAAAATAGGGAGAGTTTGTGGCCAGAATTCAGGGTTCTGGCTGAAAACTGAAAAGATTGACTTTTGTTTCTATGTCTGCCACAGATTTTTCATGTGAATAATTCAATTTGTCTTTTCCCCCTTTAGTAAGGTGAGGATAACGGCAATAGCTTTTATCAGGCTTGTTTTGTACGTCCACCCTGTGCATCCTGAGGTGCAATGAAATAGCACTAAGATTTTCTTACATACAAAGTGCAGTGTGTCTGGTAGTATGATTGTTCTAATTTTTTATCATTATGCAGCACATGGTGCCCTCTGCTGTATGTGTATACAGAGAGACAGCAGTGGAGGGAGAGTAGGAAATGATGAAGAAATGGAGAGTTTTGGAAGTTTCTTTTTGCTTTCTCAACTTATGTTCTGTGGGTGCAGCCCTTCTCCAGTTTGAGTGTCAAGCTGGAGTGGGGAACTTGTATCCTTTCCTCTCTGCACCGTTTGGCCTACACAATACTGAATTACCTTGGGGTTTTTTCCACATATTCACTGCTTTCCTCATACCTGCTTTCCAATCTCGCAAGGGCAGACGTCAGTCCTCAAGGCTGTTCATCCCTCAACAATATGGCTGGAGCCTGGAGCGCGAGGAATGTCTCCTTAGTCAATCAAGTGTTGTGTGTTGGCCACTGGTGTTGGTGGAAAAGGAGAGTGGGAGGCTTGGAGGGATATGGGACACCCTGCTGAAGGGTGATAGATGTGTGTAGTGGCCTGGCTCTTTCTGAGCTTTAACTCCAGACGTGTTTAACAGAGTTCTGCTGGCTGACTGGCATCTCTTGATTTCATAAGAGGTCTTCACCATTATAGCCCTTTCACTGATCAGGAAACTGAGGCAAGGAGCAGACAACCTATTTCTCCATGAATACTTTGTAATCAGTACTGCTCATTTTGATCAGTAACTCGCCGTCTTCTGGGTCTCTGTTGCTAAGGAGTCTTATGTGAGGCTGGTGAGGTATCCCTGTAGCATATTGACCTTTTCCTCCACTTCCCTCCACACCAAGGTGGCCATGCCAGGGATGAGTTTGGTTCGTGTCAGCATGGCTTCCTGACAAGCTTGCCACCAGACATTGGGAACCTGAGATGTCTCACCCACCTGGATCTCAGCTTTAACAGTCTCTCCACCTTGCCCAGCTGCATCCTCCACCTCTCCAGCCTCCGTGTGCTCCTGGTGAGCCACAACAGCCTGGTGGCACTCCCTGAGGACTTCGGTTCTCTGAGCAAGCTGACTTTCTTCTCTGCTATGAAAAATCAGCTGAAAGACTTACCTCAGAGCATTGGGCAGCTGGCAGTGCTGCAGAACCTCGATCTTTCAGAAAATGCTTTGGAATTCCTCCCCGAAGAACTTGGTAATCTGCACAACTGCACAGAGCTGGATCTCTCTGGGAATCGCTTATCAACCATCCCAGACTCGTTTGGTAAGTATTTTCTAGGGAAAAAGAAGGCCATGGGATTGCCAAGCGTTTGGTACAGTCTAGGACCCCTGAGGCCTTTGGTCTCTGTCCCCAGAGTTGTAACCATCTGTTACATTAGAGCCAAATAGAAGGGATGTCCAGAAGAAACATCCTTGGTTCGGTCAGTCCCTTTGAGCATTAATAACTCTCTGGTCTATGCTTTCTGCTTCTGTGGATCAGCAAGACTGCTAAGATTTCAATACAATTTACAGTAGCTGAGCATCTGGCGTGACTGGTTTTGGGTAGCACCCAGGACTGGAAACAGAAGAGCTGGGGTTTAATGGGATGCAAATCTGGGCTTGAAATCACGCTGTCCAATGTGGACCAGTCCACAGAAGCAGGCTCTGACTTCTGCTGCCCAGCTTCCTGGCTCTTGGGTCCTGTAGTACTTTGTGCCCGGGGTTGTCATTGTTACTGTTACAGGAGCATATTACATCCATGCTCATAGCTGGGTGCTGAAGAGCAAAGGACAGAGGAGGCTGCATTGCCTCTCAGCTAGTTCCCTGTACCCCTTTATTTTGTGAGCTGAAGAGCTGTTGAGCTCTTGTGCTTTTCCTTTATTTCAAGTGTGTTTGTACCTGTGAAGAGGAGAATGGTGGGGTGGTTAGGGTTTATGTGCAATGCAATTAACAGCATGGATAGGGGGTCACTTCTTGTTCTAATCTGCAGCCAATTTGAAGTCTCTGCGGCGGCTGCATCTCCACAGCAATCTCCTGGTGACGGTCCCTGCCTCGCTTGCCAGCCTGCCCAGCTTGTCCAGACTTGAGCTGCAGAACAATTGCCTCCGTGCTGTCCCTCCTGAGATCCAGACCTTGCCGTTCGTGTGCCTCCGAGGCAATCCCTTAGGAGAAACTGAGCCACCCCCGCACGCTGGTAATTGCAAGGCTTCTGCTGCTGTGGGCTCTGCCCAGCTGTTCCCTTGCTCAGCCCAGCATGGCATGGATGGGTTTGGATTAGAGAAGACAAGCAGAGGGGAATCACATGAGTCTGAATAATAACCTGTCGGGAATAATTATTAGGTTATAAAAGATGCAGACAATACTAGTTCTGTTTTTGCAAGCCCAAGCTTCCTCTGAAGGGCTCAGTGGTCCCTGGAATTAGGCTTGCTAGGAAAGGTTTTACAGCAGAATTGCAAATGGGATTAACAGGAAACAGATCAGGAGAGGCCTTTAAAGGGGTCCAGCCTTCTTAGCAGAGGTGAGCACCAGTTCTTGGACTTGCTGCGTGGCCCTAAGGGTGTGTGGCCCATGCTAGAAACACAGAGAGCAATTAGAGGTCATTCTGCTGTGCAGTTACCTCCTGCTTTCCTGTGGTTCCCAGGTTGCAGAGGAGCAGCTCTTTGTCCAAGATGAATGTGATGAATGAGCCGGAATCTGAGCAGGGTTTCCGAATGGTGCTCATGTTCACAGGATCAAGCACTGATTCCCAGGCGTGGCCCCAGGCAACCAGACATGGCTCTGAGAGCTGCAGGGGTGGCAGGTTGAAATGTTTCCTAATCCCCACTGCTTCTGAGTTTTCCTGGGGGAGAGTCAGCATTTCCAGCATGTCTTGGGACCTCTAGGCCTCTTCACATCCTGCTGCTGCTTGATCTGAAGCTCGCTGCAGCGTGAGCAGGGTTCCATTAGTGGCTTCTGTCAGATGAGGATTACACAAAAATGGAAATGGAAGTTCACACTTTCTTGTCTACCCTGATTTATGTAACTTCTGTCTTCTCCTACTACTCAAACCTTCTTATTGCTCCAGATGAATGCAGTGCTGGAGGCCTACGAAGACTCTTCCTTGCATCAGGAGAGGACAGGTAAGGCTCTGTTATTAAGAACTTATGTTATAATGGTGTAACAAGGTCCCAGGCAAGATTAATGCATGGTGGGTATTGCACGTGTGTATAGGAACTTATGGTCTTACTAGGACAGTCAAACACAAGGTAAGAGATTCTTCTGTTGATGTTTGGAGGACTGAAGTCATTGCATGGTGTCATACATACATGCATTTCTTCTGAAAGCTTTACTGTCACCTCTGAAAGCTGCAAAGTGGTCCTGGCCTGTGGCATCCATCTGTACTTTCCACCGGGGGCTACCTCCGACCCTCTGCGGATCTACTTCCGGACTCTCGCGCCAGACCCTCAGTGGGTAAAGCTGAGACACCATGATGTCCTGCTAAGTAGAGTCCTGGAGCTACAGCCTCATGGGGTCAAATTCCAGCAGGTAAGGAAACATCCATGCCACCTCCTGATCAATTTGCCTCTGCAGTAGCTCTGAGAGAGTCTTTTGGGACTTTTGAGACAGCTACTCCCATCACTGCTGGTTTTAATTAGCTGCAGGACTACCTTTCAAAGAAGCCCTGCTGCGAAAACTAAGAAAGGACACAGCCCTCTCTGGCACTGTGCTCATCTGACTCCTTTGCCTTCCTCACTGTTCCTGCTTGAACTGAGCTATGACCTTCCTCACCCACAACCCTCTTCCTGTGCCAGAGGACAAATGCTGTTCCAGCATTTGGCTGTAGCCTGCAAGGAGAATGGTTCGCATCCTTCCCCAAAAGTCTGATCGTGTGGTTTTCACAGAATCACAGAATATCAGGAGTTGGAAGGGACCTCAAAAGCTCATCCAGTCCAACCCCTGCCAGAGCAGGATCACCCAGACCAGGTCACACAGGAACACGTCCAGGCGGGTTTTGAATGTCTGCAGAGAAGGAGACTCCACAACCTCTCTGGGCAGCCTGGGCCATGCTCTGGCACCCTCACAGGGAAAAAGTTTGTCCTTATGCTCAGATTGAACCTCCTGTGCTCCAGCTTGGGACCATTGCCCCTTGTGCTGTCATTGGACATCACAGAGCAGAGCCTGGCTCCTTCCTCCTGACACTCACCCTTTAGAAACATATAAACATGAATGAGGTCATTCAAGCTGGTGGGGATTTACTCATGGCTGTCGGCAACTCACTGCAAAAGTTGCTTTGCACTTTCTGCACACAAGCTGCTGAACTTTTCCTGCTGTCACACTACATAGCAGAAGCAACTCACTGCAACCATTAGGTTATTGTTTCTGCACACAAGCTGCCGAACTTTTCCTGCTGTCACACTACATAGCAGACCTGACATCTCCTGTCACCTCCCTGGAGGCCACAGGAGAGAGCAGGTTCACAGCATACAGGCTGTGCTTTGCTCTCCCACCTCTTGTCTGCACGGGAGGCCACAGAGCAGAGCAAGGCTTGGTTATATCCTTGCTATTGGTGTCTCGTGGAAATGCTTCTTTTGACAGGAGGTGCAGATCTGGATGCCATATGCTTCCCCTCAAACCCTTCACCAGCGTGAGGTGGTAGTTCGGACCTTCAATGGGCAGAGTTGGAGTGATCTGAGGACAAGAGTAGCGCAGAAGAGAAAATCAAAGGTAAGCAGATTGGAATGACCAGTGACACACATCATTTCTGTTCCCCTCTTTGGTTTTGCCCAGCCAAGAGTGAGCCCGTTTGAAACACCTCATAAGCTGTGTTTTGACCAGCTGCTATAAAATGTAGTGGATTTCAGCTCCAGAATTCCTCTCGCATGGAGGTGTGTCTCCCGAAGGTGATGAGTTGCAGCCCGCCATGCTTCGTTCCTGCTCTAGTTCTTTCATCTGCTCACCTGTTACTGGCACTTATTTTCCTGCCTTTATTGTATTATGTTATAAGCCTGTATGTTTTTTCTTCTTCCCTGTCTTCTGTTACAGAAGCATGTGGCACACTGTAGTGTCCTTCACTTCTCTTGGTTCCTTGTTGTGTCTCGACTTGTGCAAAATGAATGCCAAGTGCCAGCAGAGGGGACTTTGCTCTTTTCCAGTGTGGATCCAAACATCAAAGTGACCTTTCCTCCTGGAGTCACTGAAGAGACTCGCAGCGTTAAGCTGCAGGTATGCACACTTTAAAAAAAAAGCTTGGTAAGCCCTAGTGCAGCTGTTGTCCCATGCCAAGCAGGGGAGCTGAAGGTGAGATGTCTGCCCTAGGATAATTCATAGATGAATGTTTCTTGGGCTGACCCATCTCAAATCACCTTCTGTCTTAGCTTCCCTGCCTGCAAAATGGGCTATGCTCCAAGCTGCCCTGTGTGGAAGAGGGATATCCTCATAGCTCTGCTAGTGCTCCCTCTGGCAGATCAGGTAGCTGCTGTGAAGGAAACACAAGGAGATTTTGCCTCTTGTTCACTTGCAAAACATACTGAGCCTGGCAGAACAGCTCAGGGAGTGAGAATAGGGGGGATTATTTATGTGGATCTAATTCTAGAGCCACCCCACTAAAATTCATTGTTCTGTAGAGTTGCTAGATAATCCTAAATGCTATTGTAATACCTTGGTCTGTCCCAGCTTGCCAGGTTAACACCAGTATTAGAGCAGACTTCAGACAAAGTTCACTGTGCTTCCATTTCTTAATGGGTCCTGAGACAAGAGCAGCATTTGCCTGCTGGGTGTTGTGGGAACTGAGTGAGTGATGCAGGAATTCGGATGCCTGACTGCTCTGCTCACTGTGCTGTCTTCCACATCCAGGTGCTGCTAGTCTCTGCAGAAGAGATAGAGGAAATCACGGCTGATGTGGGGTGCAGAGCCAGTCCTCTGCTCTGCCTCTCCCAGGATTCCCTGGTGGATTTTCTCGGGCCAGTGAGAATTCAGCTGCCCCTGCCGCCCGGGGTCACAGGTCAGTTTATTCCCAAAATTGGCAAAGAGAAATGCCATATGTGGAAAACCATGAATGGCAAGGTGGAAATTTTGTTTGCCTCTCCTGTTAGTAATAAAGCTTGCTGCTTTTCCTGCAGGAACAGCAAGGTGTGTCTGCTGAGTGAGCTGTGGTGCAGGGTAGTGGGAGCTGAATGTAGCTCGGGTCCAGCAGACCAGTGCTGGGCTACACAGAACAGCAGCATAAGCTGGGAGAATGGCCTTGGCAAATGGGTTTCTCTGCCAAACTGCATGAGTGTTTAGACTGCTAGGTTTGATAGGACAGATTGGAGGGGCACTCCTGCCAACTGAGGAGATGCTGTGTGAAAGGGCTTTGATTCATGATGGGGAATAGTTTGAAGCAGGTAATGAAGTTGCTATCTCCAGGCGTCTTTCTTACTTCCTTGCTTATGAATCACGAGGTGAGCCACTGCAGTTAAAAGTGTACGATCATGCACTAAGGCATCTCCCACTCTGAATACTGCTATAAACAGCCTCAGCCTTGCCAGAGATTCCTCTGTTTGCTTGCTGAGTACTCTGTGTCTCCTTGTTCATATTTTCTTTTATCTTTCCTGGCTTTCTTGTGAAGAAGTGAAATCTTTTTAGGTGCAGCTTGACCTTCATTGTAACACTACCTGGTATTTGTGTGTCTGAAGTGCATCAGGATTAAAAAGTCTAGAAGAACGAGATAGATAAAGTCTTAGAAAGAGATAGAACTTCATTAATAACCCTAGGTATCAGAGATGGGAATTATCTAATGAATCTGTTGGTCTAAATCAGCACATTATCAGTTTAAGTCTGCATATTCTACCACAGTATTCCAGAAGCGTTGAGGTAGCCTCATCCTTTTGTTTCCTGGATGCTGAAGAGAAGGCCATGAGCCTTTATTTGGCGCTTTTAAAAAGTGAATCACCCAAAACTGTGGCAGCGTTTTTAAAGCCATGAAGAAAGGCTTCTGCCACATATAGCATCTCTTTATAATTCTTGTCATTAGGGCTAAATTTGGATCGGTCAAGGCTGCATCTTCTCCATGGCGACCCAGAGGGCCAAACCTGGGATGATGTTACCAGTCAGGTGGTGCTGGAATTCACCCATATTTATGCAATGTTTGAAGTCACCCACTTCTCCTGGTAAGTACAGGATTACTCCTGAGGAGAAGATGAGATGTTCCTCTGCCTTGTTTTTCCCACACTCTGACCATGGCTCATGGCATTAACCCTACCTCTTCTCTTTTGCCTTTGCAAGTCAGACCCAGCGTAGCACTTTGTCTCTACCCATCATTTTTTACAGTCTTGTGGGTGTGACACTGGCTTCTCTTCCTAGGCAGGGTTCCTCCTTTTTCTTAATTCCTTGTCTGCCAGGTACTGGCTGTGGTACACCACCAAGACCTACATTGGAGGCATTGCCAAGAAAGTCTATGAGCGGCTGCGTATGTACCAGGTGAACTTCATTGCTCTGCAGAGGAAGAAGGACCCCGAGCAAGTCCTACTACAGTGTGTCCCCAAGCACAAGGTCTGACCTGGGTTGCATTGCCTAACTCCTGAGCTTCCTGGGCCTCCCTTTGTAGCCTGTAAGGGCAGCAGTGCAACATGGTCCTGTTCACTGTCCCAGGGTCTTGGCTGGGGTGTGCTGTCACCACACTGTGTTGGTAGTGTGATACCAGCTCACTGGGAGCTGGGGGAAGAAGGAAAACTAATTCTGTGCAGCAGTGGATCCCATGAAGTTATTTCCTCCCCTGTGAACCTTGAGGACTGGGCTGCTAAAATCAACTGAGCCACAGTAACTGGCCATGCTGTTAGTGTCCAGCAAACGTGAGGCAAAACATACTGGCTTAAACCTCAGTCAAAGATATTAAAGCTAACGTGTCACTTGACTGACATGGGCTAGTAGTGTGGGCAGAGGCACTGCTTTGATTTCAGCTGGAGTGGTTAGAAATGGTACTCTTTCTGATATTCCCTGCTGTTTACAGCTCAAGCAGTGGAACAGAGCATATGAGCCCTCTTTAATCTTCAGTGCTACATCAGGTTAGTTTATGGCATTAGTCTGACCTAATGTGGCTGATGTTGTACGGAAGAAGATGTGAAGAAGATGGGAAGCGCTAATGCATTCTCTTCTGCTGCCTCTGCCCTAGGGGTGTCAGCCCTCAGCAGTGTTGCTTCAGATGTTAGCAAAGTAAGTGTACATCTGTGTTTGTAGGGTGTGTGCCTTGACAGACAGTGCAGCTCAATGAGGCGAGGGTTATTTTACCAGACTGCCAGAACTGGGCTGCATATACAGCTCTGCATAATCCTCTGGTCTGTTTGCTCCTTTTATTATTCATTTGTTCTCCTTTATTGAAATGACCTATGGGCATAAACATCTGTAAGGATTCTTTGTATCTTGGATTCTGGGCTAAAATTGTTTCCAAAGGAGACAGCAATGTTGCTCACAGTGAGATCGGGGTTCGGGGTTGTCTGTATTCCTGCCAGGGATGGTCATGAGGTGAGAGAGAAGGTTTACTGTCACAAATAGAGAAGAATAGACACTTTGGCTCTAGGCTGACTCTTGCACTGCCTCTGAGACCACAGGTCTGACAGCGTGATCACAGGCTGCAAAGCCAAAATGGGCTTTCTGGTGTTCTCAGCTGTGTGTTATTGTAGCATGTGGCTTTTTGCTGAGGAAATGTCTTTTAATGACATACTGTGAGAGGGATAAGTTAGCAAGTAAATCCCTCCCTGTCTTTGAAGGTTACTGACCTGTTAAAAAGACAGAGACATTGCTGAAAATGCTTCTTGAATGGCAGCTTTGGGATAGCCTAACTTTGTTAGTCCACACAGGCTTTTCTGCTTGTTACTTGAGAAGAGAAATAGGGAAACAACAAAGCCCAGAGCACTACTTCCATGTCTGTAGTGAATGTACCTACGATAGGAGGAGGTGTTTGTTCATTTGTTCACATCCTTTCCATGTACAATTTACTTTCCTTGGTGAAGGTGAGTGAAAGGAACATCATGGGCACAGGGACATGGGTCAGGGGACAGATGTGCTTCAGACCAAACACGGAGTCCTGTGTTGTCATCCTTGTCAGGTTGACCTGGTGCTGAAGAAGCTGCAGGACCGCTATCGAGGACCTGAGCCCTCCGACATGGTGGAGCTGTTTGAAGGAGAGCAATTTTTTGCGGCTTTTGAGCAAGGCATCAGCATCAATATGGGTATGATAGTACTGGGCTCCTTTCTGCTCCTGCCTCTGGTGCTTCTCTAGCCCTCGCGGTGTTTCTGCTGTGGGCTGTACTCCTCCATGGCATTCCTGTCTGTCTTCAGCCCGGCCATCATCACAGCAGCTAGCCCATAGATACTGAGCTTGCAACATTCTCTGGCCACCCAACTTTTGTGTCTGCTTTTCCCTGTGAAAGTGCTGTTTGCAGGCTTTCATTTCCTCTCATGCTGTTGTAGCCTGCAGAGGGCAATAGCCAAGTGTGTTGTCTTTTATTACTCATATGCTTCTGCAGCCCGCTATGCCCTTTTCCTGGCATCCTAGACAGCACACTGGAATGCCCGTGGTGATATAATTAGTGTTGCCCACTTCTGAGAGAACACACATGGAAATCTTTTTTGGAGAGGTATTTCTAAAAGAATCCAGAGCAAGGAATTCCCTCTAATGGAAACGTTAGAAGAGAAGGGAAGCAGGAGCAGAACCAAAACCCAAGATGCTGTTTTATCCCCCAGTGTGTCAGACTGAGACATTTTCTGCAAAACCAGAACACACAACTGAGATTCATTAGTGTAAAGTAAGCGCAACTCAATGAAGAGTAATAAAGTGGACTGGTCTTTCAGTGGAGTTCATGAGGCCAGAGTCTGTCCCCCTGTCCTGATTTACACTGGACTCTAACTTAATTTCTAGATAATTACATATATTAAAGTTGTAGCTGATTGTACTTTTTTCCCTTTAGCTTTATTCCTATTTCTGCGTCCACTGCAAAAACAGTGAAGAGATAGTGACCTATTTTAGTGCATTACAGGGTGCTATTGTAGCTGAGTCTACCCTCCAAGTGGTAGAATGGGCCAAGGATAGGAGGGAAGTGCCAAGGATGGTCTTGACTCCATCTGAATGAACTTGATCTCCACCTTGTGGCCATTCTCCTTTTCCACCTGTGAGACCTGCTTTCTCCACAGCCAGTGTGTTCTGCTTTCCTGCGTCATCCAGTGAGGAAAGGGGGAGGGTTACAATTCTTTCGGTCATGAATAGGAACAGTAGATAGTAGCATGGAGGCTGCTAGTGGATGACAGGCTGTTGGGCAGGCTTGAAAAGCTGCACATTTTTCTGCACGAGTTGATTGATTGCTGCTTCTCTGCATAGATCGCCCTGACTGCGTCGATGGACGTCTCTCATTTATTTTTTACTCCCACTTGAAGAACATGAAGGAAATCTATGTGACCTCCCCTGTAGACAGGAAAGGCCAAGCTGTAAGAGGCCAGGTGAGCAACCAGTTACACTGACTTTCTGTTTCCTCCATCATCATTGCTTTTACAGTGTTCATAATAATCTGTGAGTGCTGGGCATGACTCTTTTCCTCCCCTCTTTCC